TCTCCTGAGGAGGGGAACCATGTAGCTGGGATTGGGGCTGGCCCTGCAGACCTCACTGTTAGTTTGCTGCTTCATGCTGGTAGTATGTGTGGCAGTTAGATTTCATGTTAAGTTGAATTTATAAGAAAGTGTAGGGGTAAAATCCAACCTATTAAAAAAAATCACAACCTGATGATGCCTTCTGGGAGATGTGGTCTGTTTATGAGACATTGGAGGTCCCTGCCCTCTCTCTCTGGCCCTGCACTTTCTTGCTTGCTGGTACTCTGTGCCTGCCTCAGGGAGGGTGGTGGTGGTTGTTATGAGAGCTGTTGGTGCCATGCCATGTTTCCATTGACCTTGGATCTACAGGACTCTGCACCCACTGGCCTGTGATCTTCCTGCATCTCACGTCACCTTTCCACATCATAAGCCTGCAGCTACATGAGTCTGAAGAGGAGTTCTGGCTAGCATGAGGTCAAGGGACTTGAGTTGAACTGGCTGGGTTGCTTTCTTGATGTTCAGTTACTTCTTGATGTCAAATTACTTTCTACTATTCATGTACGAGTGTCACTGATTTTATTTCTCTAGGACAACCCAGCCTAACACACTCATGAAGTTTGCTACACCAGCTAACAGTTGGCTTGGCATTTGCCTTTTAAATCATGATGGTCACATGAGCGACTTCCTTAAGCCCTGGGCATCCCTTTATCTATGAAAGCTTCTGGCATTGTTACATGGGCCAACTTAGGAGTGGGGCTCCAAGATCATAACATTCTGGCCATCTCCCAATATCAGCGTGAAGGCTCCTAGCAAGTGACTTAACCCTCTGACATCTTAATTTCCTCATCTGGAATTTGAATCCAGTTTTACTTTGAGGGGTGTGTGTGTGTATGTGTGTGTGTGTGTGTTTGGGGGTGGTGCTGCTGTTAATAGGTAGGAGGTGTTCATTTAGTACCTTGCATAGAGTAGGGCTTAGAAATTAGTAGTAATAGACAGTAATACATAGCACCTAGCCACCTAGCTCAAGAAAGTTCACAGAAGGATTGTGGGATTTCAGAAGAGTGTGTGTATGTGGTGTGTGTGTGTGTGTGTGTTTGTGTGTGTGTAGTGGAGGGGGGATCAGGAAAGCAACCCTGGCAGAGGTGGTTTCAGGGGTTGCAGAGGAAAAACACTGTGGGTCAGGGGCTTTTCAAAGCCTCTGTACAGGAATTTCAATGTTGCCTCCAGCCTTGATGTTCTGGGACATAGGTCAAATTACTTCTGCCTTTGAAAACTCAGTTTTCTCAAGGGTGTGATGATCAAATACTTGGCTTCCAGGTTATAGGAAATTCCTGTTTGTGAAGTAAATGGAAGACAGGATATTTCAAACCCTGGCGGGGCTTAGCCTGAGGCTAGGGTCTCCAGAAGCTTAGGTCTTCTTCTAGACCTGGGCATTCATATTCTAACTGCCCATTCTTTGCAATCACGCCTTGACTCTGGGGAATGGCCCGCAGGGTAAGTTGAGAACCTGCTGCCTCGTCTTAGAACTAATGAGGCCCACAAGCAGACCCATTGGCAGGGCCCATTGGCAAACACTACACACAGGGAATGAGGGGTCTGGAAAAGGGAGCCGTTCGATTCACCTTGTCAGGGGTAGATCTTCTGCAGTGCGTGCTTTCGTGGGGAAAATGTTGCTATTATAGCCCACTGTGGTCCACTCTCTCCTAGCTCTGTGACCTTGGGTAAGTGACCTCCCTTCCCATGGGCCTGGAAAACAAAAAAGCGGTTTTGGAGCTGGAGGATCCAAGGGGGTAGGAGCATCTTGAATTGACAAGCCTGGTGTCCACGTGTGTTCGCGGCTGCTCTCCTTATGGCGGTTAACAGAGCTGAAGCCTTGGCATTGGTTAAGTCTACATGGCCTGGTGGACCCACGCCACTTGTGCGGATGTCCATCTTCTTCGCCTTCCGCAAGATTGAATCCAGACAGCTGCGGTAATCAAAACAGAGCCAGGCTCACGGGTGGCAGAGCCCGCGGGCAGCTAGGTGGGCGTGGGCGTCCCCCTTCACGTGCCCCCCCGCCCCCCTACCTTTCAGCCACCCCTCTCCAGCTGCGTAGCGCCTCTCGGGGCGGGGCAAGCAGAAGCCACACCTTCGGACTCGCAGGGGTCGGAGCCGGTACAGGACGCGCAGCTGACTGCAGCCAAGTCTGAACACGCGGGTGCGCTGCGCCTGCGGTTGTCCGCCAAGGGAGGAGCCTGAAGAGGAGCCAGAGCGCGCGGCGACCTCCTGGACGAGACCACGACCCCGGTGACCCGCTGTCACCTCACAGCGCATCACCGGCCAGGTCGCGGCATGGACTGCTCTCTCGCGCCCTGTGAGTGCCGGGCTCGCCCGGGCCCCCCGCCCAGCCGCCTTTGTGTGCGCACCGCGCCTCCGCAGCCCCCTCCCCACACCCTTCCTGCACCACGGGGCCCCCGCATCCTTTGTGGAGGGGCGGCGGCGGGGCCGAGAGGGACCAGCCGGAGGTGAGGGCCCCTCCCCAGGGCCGGCCTCCCTCCCCCACTGGGCCTCCTGGGCTAGCTGTCCCCCTCCCAGGGTTCCCCAGGGGCCCCGCAGGCCGGGCTTGGGGCCTCCCCTTGCGGGCCGGCGGGTCGGGGATTCTCCGCTCCCAGGGCTGCGGGCAGGTGCGGCCGTCTGGCGCTTACGCGCGGCCTGTTTGTCCTTGTCCCCAGAGATGGATGGCGATGGCGGCTGCCGAGACGCCCCCGGAGCGCTGACGGAGG